TTATTTGAAGAAAAAAAATCAATCAAAAATGAATTTTTACAAGATTTGTTTTCATTTATTACAATTTAAAATTGAATAATTTATAGATTTTGAATATTTTAAAGTTAATTTTCGATGTGATGATAATTCTTAGGGAATAATTTTAAATTCATTATTATTAATTTTTCACAATTGAATTTTTAAGGTCAGTGCAAGGGAGATAGCCAACGTTACATAAACAAAACATTTGGCGTGTTACTATTTTTTATAATTATTTTTTTTTATTTCATTTTTTATTTACTTTAATTTAAAAAAATTATGCGATGAAATATTTATTGCTATAATTTTTAAATAATTTTATCTTCTTATTGTTGCTTTTTTTATCATAATTCCGACCATTAAAGAAGAAGGAAATTGTATTTGTATCGTCTGCATTTTCACAAAATAAATAGAAACCTGGCGAACTTCGAGAGACTTCCATAAAATAAAAAAAACAAAGTTGAAATTCGGTACTTACTTTTTTCTCCTTTTTTACGTGCCAAAAAACAATCTTTGCTTTTTTTTCTTCTCTTCCGATCTTCCAAGGCGAAAAAATGAAAAAAGAATTAAACAAAGAAAAAAAAGCCAAAACCTCTAAAAAAACGGAGTCGTAAACAACAAGACTTTCTTTTTGAAAATTGCCGACTGAATTATTTTTTATACTATCGTCTGCTTTCTTCCAATTTTTTACCGCTAAAAATGTTTTACAAGGCAACCAATCAGCAGCAAGATCAATATTTTTAAAATACCTCTTTTAAAAATAAAAATCAATTTAACGAGCGTCTGTCTATTTTACATTTACACAATTATTAGTATTCAATAGCATTATATATATATATATATATATATATATATATATATATATATATATATATATATATATATATATATATATATAAAGAACAGTAAGATATATAATCCGGTGTTCTTATTGATATTTTTATTTTTACAAAATAGTGCTCAATGTAAATTTACAGAGCATTAATATTATAAATTAACTGATTTAAAATATGGTTTTTTCGCTACACAGTAATTCGCTTGAGGATGAAATGGAACTAATGTTTTTAAAATTAAATTGGAAGCTATTAGCTCCTGTTTTGAAACATGGTTATTACTGTGTAGCGAAAAAATATTTTAAATCATTAATTTATAATATATATATATATATATATATATATATATATATATATATATATATATATATATATATATGATTTTAATATGTAAGGAGATAACTTTTTTGTTTATAAAAAGACAAATTAGCAAAAAAACAAAAGCAAAAACAAAACCATACAAAAAAAACTTAAAACAAAATCAAACATATTATAAAGCAACAGTTTTTCTTTTCAATTATTGAATGTCATATCATGACATTTATTCATTTTGACTAGTTTTTCTGATACGATATTCTTAAGGAAATGTATACTTACAATCAGAAAGAGACATTTGAAATTTCTGCGACACGTAATGAGGAAAAAAGGTCTAATGGTATACTGAAGATAAAAGAAACAAGAGAAACAACGAATTTGTGTAAATGGATGGCAGAACAAGGACTAAGATGGATCTTAAAGAGTCAAAAGTTACTTAGAGGTACAAAAAGAAAGAAGTCGCGGAGAGTCATGAACAGTTACGTCCTGAAAAGACTTGATATGTAGAGATTTTCCAAGTGCAGCTTAGATGCGCCACAAGGCCGAAAGAATGGGGCATCCAGGGAGGATCGAACTCACTTTTCAGTAGTAACTGATCTAGCAAGCCAAGCTTGCTAACCATTACACCACGCCGAGGTGCCCAAAGACTTGATATGTAACAAGGTTAGGTTAGGTTGCTTGGTTTCATTGGTTGGGTCATTTAACATCGAATATAGCACCCATTGAGAATCGAATTTATTACTCATTAGTAATGGTATTGGTGAAAATTATTCAAATAAATCTTGCAACAGAAAACTGTGACAAGGAATAATAACAACAGCGGCAAACACATCACAAGAGATACGGGTCAAGAATCATAAAAAGTTTGTTGGAAAAACAAACAAAAACCAAAACAAACAAAATATGTTACACTACAGTGTTGGGGGTGGTATGGTAGTTCACAAACAGATATTGAATGACGGAAGACAACAACAAACTAAATGTAGACTTCAGTAAATATATATATATATATTTACAAATTTATTTTCATTAAAGACAAAAATAAGGTTACAGTGCACCAGGCAAAATATATCCTCTTCATGCTCATGTAGACGGTGAGAAGAGCGTAGTCCTGAAAAGGACAGTTTTGTAGTCGCTGAAAAGCGTTGTCCTGAAAAGAACGGTTTTTGTAATTTCCTGAAGGACGTTGTCTTGAAAATGACAGTTTTATAGTCGCTGGAGAGTGTTGTCTCGAGAAGGACAGTTTTGTGGTCACTGAAGAGCGTTGTCCTAAAAAGGACAGTCTTTTAGTATTGTTGGTATTTTTACTGTCGGTCCAAAAATAGGTTCGACGTACAAAACGTTAGGAACTTGATATAATAGGTATAACGCAGAGTAATCTAGTTGTGGTCGCTGATACTTTAGTATTCGACTAACTGTCGTCCGACATCGACTGACTCACCGACTGACTCGTTACTCTTACTACTCCTACTCATTATAGATGGGAGAGTCTATTAACTATAGAATAGGTGTGTTCCACTATAACAGGGAACAACAGCAATTAAGAGGTGGTTCCACGCTCATCAAAACCTTCAATTTGCCGATCAGCCCGATGAAGTTTATTGTCATACCCAAGACTATATAATGTATATTAAAAGTACTTTATTTTCGGACTGCTTTTGTAAAACAAGTATCGCGTTTTATATGATCATGAGTCTCAGAATTCGGTAATAACATAGTTTAAATAACTCTAAAACGAATTTATATAATCTGCTCCAAGTTATTAAATCAACGGCCTGGTGGGATTAGAGGTCGAACTTGCAGCTGAAGAATGAAGTGACAGGAACGCAAAGCAATTACAAATGGGATTGTAGAGATATTATTATTATTATTATAAATAAATAAAAATAAAATAATAATATTGAAAATTATAAATAAAATAAAACAATAACATAAAAATGTTGCATAAAGTAAATTAGATAAAAATAAAAAATAATAAAAGTAATCCCAGCATGCAACAAAAACAGTTCCTGCCAGAAATACGGACATCTCTCCAAAAGACGTTAAATTCAATCTCTTCACCTTAGTACGGGCAACACGTGTCCGACTTCTGTGTGTGACATGGTTTGTAATACTACGGAGTAAATTTCTTTCATTTATCACTTGTACCATAGAACAACTGTAACCAAAAAAATACACACACCAATACACACAAGGAAAATATAAACAAATTGTATGAAAGTAACATACAATTTACCTTGCTTTTCCTGTTATTTAGGTACGTTTTATTTTCTGTCAAGTATGCTTTTATCTCCGTGAACACAAGGCTAATTACTGCTGCTATGATATAAGTGAATCACCCACAGGATAAAGAGTTTTGATGAAATTTTGACCAGAATAAAAAGTAAAGAAAAAAAAAAAAAAAAAAATGAGAAAGTAGGTCGGAATAAAAAGCATTCGAAATTACATTTTGTAAAAATGAATTTGGTAGGAACGCAAAGCAAATATGGTAGAGCGTCTTGACCAATAGGTACTTGCACTAAGAGTGTCGGTTGATAAATTCATAGGCTGACCAAGATATAAATTTAGGTAGACACACCAATTGAGAGACTAAAAGACATGCAAGTGTATCAACATACAACAGCTGTTCGACTGTATTTCGATTATATTACAAAAAATAATTTTGGTTTAGATTTCCTTTGAAGTTTTTAATGTCTATTAGTATTTATTATTTTTTATGTTACTCATAAAATATAAAACAAAGATATTTTCATTTTAATCCCAATAATAGTATTGTTTTTATTCAGTTCAATAAATGAAACTTGATCGACAGATAAAGAAAAAAGTGAAAAGAATTTCATTTTCAATTTAAAAAAAGTTTTCTTAGTATTTTAAGCCACAGTAAAGCAAATTTAAAAATATTTATTTAAAGGGAAATAACTTTTGCCGATCTAAATTAGGAGTTATTTCCCTTTACCTGATGACGTCTTAAATTTTTTTAGAAAGTTTTCATCGGATAAATCTGTGTGTTATGCACGTTCAGGATGTGGGCGATCATGGCACTCCATCTCTTCCTATTCTATGTAACTCCTAGCAATGGTTTTCTTTTTACTCTCCTTTCCCACTGCCATCCATTTACATAAGTTACTCATGTAGTTTACTCGCTGCCTTCCTCTGTTTATCTTGCCTTGAAGTGTCAGATTTTCCAAGCCTTCTTTCCTTAATAATCTGCTCTAGAAATCTCAACTGTCTCTTTCTGATACTAAGTTTAAGTGCCCTTTTTCTTTCCGATTTCCTTTGAATTCTTCGTTATTCCCATGCCCCATCCCATTTTTAGCATCCTTCATATAACTGTTGCCTCAGATCTCCTCTTTATCTGCGAGGGAACTGTCCAGCATTCGCTGGTATTACATAGCAGTTGAACACTCTTTTCTTTGATTTTAATGAAATTTTCCTTTTTCTTAATAATTTCCTTAGCTTTTGAAAGGCATATTTTGTTATTCCAATGTGACTTCGGATTTTGGTGACACATGTTCCATTCTCTGTTAAAACATTTTCCTGATATTTAAATTTCTGTATTTGCTTAATTTTTACATCTCCAATTTCTTGGTCTCATCCTCTTGCTGATAAAACAAATATTCAGACTGTATTTATTCAGAGCAAGGCTATCTTAAGATCTTAAGAGAACTAGAAGTCCTACCAGGATTTATTATTAATGGGCATAATCTTAACAACATAAGATATACAAATGACCCAGTGTTGCTAGCAGATATAGAAGTAAACCTTCATAAATTCCTTCTGCCCACTTTCATCATTAGTGCCTTTTCTACTGAAATTACAATTTTATTTTATTAGGCTATTTTGTCTCTTTTCTTTCTTTCTTTCTTTCTAATTCTATTTATCGAATTATTACATTTTATATATATTATCTCTCTGTTTGTCTTTCTCTCTATCTAATTCTATCTATCTATCTATCTATCTATCTATCTATCTCAGTATGTTCATATATGTCTATCTGGTGGACGGACAGTTACGTCCTGGGCATTTGCGTCCCGGACAAATGCGTCCCTGGATATTGATTTTAAGCGAGGCTTAGATGTGGCACATGGCCGAAAGTATGGGGCACCCAGTGAGGATCGAACTCACTATTCAGTTGTAACAGTTTTAGAAAGACCAGCTTGCTAACCATTACACCACGCCGAGGCGCCCCTTATTTTCCAAGCGTAGCTTAGATGTGGCACAAGGCCGAAGTTAGGGGGCACCCAGTGAGGATCGAACTCACTACTCAGTCGTAATTGTTCTAGCGAGCCAAGCTTGCTAACCATTACACCGCCTCGAGGTGCCCAAATGCGTCCTTGGATAACCGTACCTCTGATAATTTTTTGAAGTTGTCATACTTTCTTTTCTTAAGAGTTGCTAATTGCAAACCAACTTTTAATTATTCTTAACAAGCAAAAAGGTAGTTAATATAAATTTTGAACGAAAACAAAACATCTTTTTTTTTAAAGAGTTATTTAATATAAAAATTTTCACGCCAGTACCTTTAATTACTCTAAAGAAGCAGACGAGTACTTAGCATAAATAAAAAAAGAGAGAAAAATGTCTCTTTTAAAGCAAGTGAATATTAAGCTAGCAGTTTCAGTTCACTCCAGAAGTCCATGTCACAAACATCTAGTAAATTCTGAATTTTATAGCTTTTATTTTTATTTGGAATACACGGCTAAGTTCCGACAAACAAACACTGGTGGAAAAATATTTGTGGGCGAGGAAAATTACAGTTACCACTATCATAAGAAAAACGCCGATGAAACAATGGCGATGTTTAGAGCGATTTTGTAAAGCAAGAATTCATACAGTGAACTTTGAATCTTTTTTTTTTAATTTATTTCTTTAATAACTTTAAAAAAAAAATATGATTACTACATATGCTTTTTTCAAAATTTATGATAATTGTCTTTAAAAGCTTCAGAAAATTATCAGAGGTACTCAGACAGGGACGCATTTGTCTAGGGACGCAATTGTTCGGGACGCAAATGTTCAGTAAACTACTGTAACCTTACGTATGTATGTATGTATGTATGTATGTATGTATGTATCTATCTATCTATCTATCTATCTATCTATCTATCTATGTAATAAAATTATTTCTAATAAATTCTTAAGATGGAGGTCGATCTTTTTATCTCTGGTAAATCTGTCAGACCATCTGGGAAACATATTTTTCTGTTGACCATTCATCATCAGTGAAACATGTCAAAGTGATTTTTTTTCAAATTATTTCACGTTTACCAATTTTTTTTTCAAATTGTTTCACATTTACCATTCGATCGGATCCTCTTCCAACTTTACCTATAAAAAATTTAAGCTGCTTGAGCGTGTAGTGTCTGCTTTTTTGAGAGAAAGCTGCGTTGGGCTTTTGCTTAATTGTTGAATTTTTGCTACATTTCGATTTGTGGGAAAACAGCTGCGTTTGTTTTTCATCCAGAAGCAATAAGTTTCCCTCTGAATTCCGATAAGTGAATTTGGAATCTATCTGTAGGAATAAAGGGGGCCCGGGAGTTATTTCAAAGAGTCGACGAATATCTGCTGCTGGGACCCAGATCGTCCCAGTTCAGAAAGAAAAACATTACAAAAAAAATTGCCAACCACCAGAGAAGAATTGAAAGGAACATCAAAGTTGCTTCCACACGAAAGAAAAGTCTTCGACTGATATTATTGTTCTTGTAGTTAAAAAAAAATGATCTCATTGGCGTCTGTACGTAAAAAGAGTCTCGTGTGGAAGCTATATATTGTTTTTTAAGCTGGAAAAAAATAAATTAACGCAGAATCACGGCGTTCATAGGACGGGAGTTGAAAATAAAAATAAGATGGAGTGTACGAAAGACGGTGAGAGAAGAGGAATTTAGTCTACAAAAAAGCTAAAAATATGGAGTGTACGAAAGACGGTGAGAGAAGAGGAAGTTAGTTTACAAACAGCAAAACAATATGACAAATACAACATCTACATTTTGTCACTCAGAATTAATATCTACTAAGGAATTTTAAGACAGTCTTTCGAATTTAAACTACAGTTCTATTCTTCGTTGTTACCATAAACTTTGCTTCGAAATTTGTACCAATTCTTTGAAAACTATTCAGAAAGTATTTTCTCCTTTTCTGCCATTTTATATGTAGTTTTCTTTTCGGCGGATTTTATGCAAGGGCTTATCTTATTTAATTTACATAAATAATTTACATACATTTTATTTTATTGGCCATCATTTGGCACACAATGCACTTAATTTATGTAATTCTTTCAATTTTGTGTATTAACAATAAATTTATCGTTTGTTCTTAAATTCGGCTCGTGTTGCCTATCTTTGTTGTGAGCCCTTAAATGTTACCTCAAACATTTGTTTAAACCATTTTTTTTTTCGTAGGGTTTTTACCAAATAAAAATTTCCTTTATATCATCTAATTTGTTTGTTTGTTTGTTTGTTTGTTTGTTTGTTTGTTTGTTTGTTTCTTCTCCTATCTATGTATTTTCTTTTCTCCCGCTTTTATCATAGTCTTCATATCACTCAATTTATTTTTCTTTCTTTCTTTTTCTTTCTTTCTTTCTTTCTTTCTTTCTTTCTTTCTTTCTTTCTTTCTTTCTTTCTTTCTTTTTCGCATCCCAATTCTGTTCATATCTGTCAGTTTGCCTTCACCTCACGCCGGCGCTAATCCTCTAGATTCAGGTTCCTAATCTGGATTGAAATACGCTACACTGATACACATCTCGCAATCCATTCTTAGTGAGACACCTTTCTTTATTCTTCGTATCTCACTATCTATTCCTTTCTATTCTAACCGCTACACGATCTTCGCTATCATTTCAATTTAACCTGGCAAATCTTCAGTTGTTTTCTCTACTTGGCCTTGAAAATATCTTACTTTAATACTGAAACGAAACGAAATTGGCTTACCTTAAAACTAAGACGAAACGAAGAATAAACCAATAAATCGAATAAAAATAAAATGTAAATGATTTTGAAGACATTAAAAAAAAGTCCTTTTTTTATAAAAATGAAAAAAATACCTAATTTAAAAATATTTTTTCGCTTATTTATAAACGAAATTTAATCTTTATTTTCATAACGCGTATAAAAACCATTGTCCAGTTTTAAAATATTATATTTTTCTCATTTTTGTTGTGAGAAATAAAGAATTCAATTTTGAACTTGTTAAAACGCGAATGTAAACCGGGTTAAAATATCTGTAATATCCACATACGAGATAAACGTTGTTATGATTTAGTTTTATGACGTCATATATGTGCGGGAAACGTTGTTGGTTGAATATCGTCGTCAACTGTGACCAGAGAAAATTTATTAATTCTGTCTTCGTCTTGCACAAAGGCGATTTGGTTAGACACGACAATTGTGCTTTGTGTTGGTACATACATTTTAAGAGAATTGTCATTTTTTTTTTCATCCAATTAGGCACCTTAAACTATAAGATAATTATGAATTCCTTGAAGGTATAAAGACACAGTACAATATTTGAAATATACATGAATACAAAAGAAAAATATATTTATGTTAGAATCTATCTATCTATCTATCTATCTATCTATCATCTATCTATCTATCTATCTATCTATCTATCTATCTATCTCCCCGCCAGTCTCTTATCTATCTAGCTCGCTATTAGTGTTACAAAGCCTAATTTCTATCTATCTATCTATCTATCTATCTATCTATCTATCTATTAGTTTATATCTATTTCTATCTATCTATCTATCTATCCAGTCTATTATCTATCTATCTATCTATTATTATCTTACAAGGCTCTTATTTCTATCTATTCATCTATCTATCTATCTATCTATCTATCTATCTATCTATCTATCTATCTATCTATCTATCTAACGGCATTCGGGCTGTTTTCGGAGGTGACGCTTTCAGACGTTTGAGTAGCCGGCAATCACTTCCGGCCGGGTGCGATATACAGGGCTAATTTAAATGTATCACCTTGCATGTATGATTTTCGGACATACTTTCATTCTCAGCTTTTAGAATCTGTACGAAATATGCAAAGTATTTTTATTCTTAATCTCTTTACACTGTTTTCTTCTAGATCAGTGCTTTTCAACCTTTTTGCTGGAGTGGAACCCCATGGAAACATTCCACTGGCTCGAGGAACCCCTGTGCAATAATTTGGTTGTCTTATGCAAAAAACAGCATTTAATTAATTATACAAAAAAATGCAATTTGTAATAAAATGAAAATATTCATGTTCAGAGTATTGTAAATGAAATGAAAACAAAAGTGTACATGTTTGAATAGATACATTTATTCTTATGAAAAAAGTCAATGGGAAACTTGAGCCTGGTGTTTCTTGCACAACTCTTTAAGATTGGGTCGTGTTTTTGACAGACACACACGAAGTTCATCTTCCACAGACCGCAATTGAGCTCGTTTCTTGTGCTTGATGGTTGTCAGAGCTGAAAATCCAAATTCACACAAGTAGGAGGTTGAAAATTGCACAAGAAGTCGTAGCGATTTCTGGGCAATTGCAGGATATTCCTTTTCAACCAGCAACCAAAAAGCATTCAGGTTAAGTTCAGAATGCTTCAGCTTTAATGTCCTGTCATTTAGAACACTGGCAAGTTCTTCTTCTTCTGTTAATGTGAACTGTTCTTCAGGCGGCTCAAATTCTACAAATGGGTTTCTAATCCAGTCATACTGCTCAACAGATATTGATGGAAAATATTTGTCAAGATTTGTTAACAAAGTGTCCAAATGGTTCAAAATCAGTAGCCTAATTTCTTGCAGCTATGCGTTTCTTCCATATTGTCAATTTCTTCTGAAAAGCATTTATTTTGTCAGTAGAAGACAAGATATTTTCGTTCCTGCCCTGCATGCTATTGTTCAAGAGGTTTAGTTCATGAAATATATCGGCAAGATATGCTAACTTCGAACACCAATAGCCATTACTTAAACATTCTACAAAGTCTTTCAGGTTTTCTTGCAAACAAAAGGTCAATAACTCTTCTCTTAATTCGTAAAAACGACACAATACTTTCCCCCTTGACAACCATCGTATTTCTGTGTGC